TTTATCTTAATTGGTTTTTACCCTTGTCGAGCCAATCCGAACGTGTCGATAAAAGGGAGCGAGTTCAATCCATGGTGTCCACTTACCTTAAAAAACCCAAAACCACGTTTATATGTCAATTTTTGGTGAATTGTTGGAATAACCCATAAGGCCATCTTTCTACAAAGTGTCCATATATAACTAAAGATATGGTCATGTTCTCATGTTAGCTGGTACAAATTTGGCCTCCTATTAGACAGTGGGGGAGAACAAAACTATTAAAGGGAAAAAGAAGTGTAATTACAATCAGCTTGAACGAAAATTGCTTCAATGGTAATGGCACATGAGAGTCTACATAGATTACCATACCATACCATAAAAGTAGTTCCATTATGACCAATGCCTGCAAACAAAGAACTGCGACATGAGTGTTATGGCAAAACATAAACAAGGTGGTGAAGAATTTCAGGACCAAAAGCTTCCACAAAAATGTGAAACAAACATCAATTCATTTCATCAAATATGGAAGAATGCTAGCTATCCACAGTTATGCACTAAGATCATGAGTAATGTAAAGCAAAAGGTTACCAGCACCGCTCTCCATACCCCTCAAATTAGCCAATCTTTACATTCCTTTTTTGTAAACTGAAAAAAGAAAGTCATTTTCTACATAAACCAGTTTTCAAACCTAGGAATATGGTATGCAAATTGCACCACAATTTGCCGTTATCAATTGTAACAGTCCAAGTCCACCGCTAACAGATATTGTCCTTTCTGGAATTTCTCTTTCGGGCTTCTCCTCAAGGTTTTTAAAACGCATCAAAGAATGTTTTGTTCTCCTCTCCAACCAATGTGGAATCTCACAATCTACCCTCCTTAGGGGTTAGCATCCTCGCTGGCACAATGCCCGATATTTGGCTCTTATACCATTTATAAGAGCTCAACCCCACCGCTAACAGATATTGTCCTCTTTAGGCTTTCCTTTTCCGGATTCCTCTCAAGGTTTTTAAAACGCGTATTATTAAGAAGAGGTTTTCACACCCTTATAAAAAATGCTTCGTTGTCCTCTTCAACCAACGTGGGATCTCACGTCAACACAGGTAAGCTTTGACAGCTATTCTACTAAAAGAAAACTGGAAGAAATGGGCTTATTTACATTGAAGGATGAGAGGTGAAGAGAAGATTATCAAAGAACTAGAGAATCGTAGAAAGGATTTGGCGGGGTAGGGTGAACAAAGTAGAGATCAGGCTTCCAGTAAAGAGTTTACCCGTATCCTGATTTTAAATAACAGCACCAGTGACAACGCCCAAGATTCTATTTCTAACTACCATACCGGGCCCCTTTTTCTCCACAAGATAGAATAGAATAGACCATTCTCTAAACCCACACCCGCTGCAATAAAATGTGAGGCTATTCTGCTTTTTCACCTAAAACAAAAGGAGTATAGATGGAAAAACAAAAAGGTCAGAGGTGCCTACATCTCCAAACTTCCTTTCTTTCTTTCTTGTTCTTTCCCCTTCTTTTTTTCTGGCTTAGGCTATGCCTAAGATGAGTTACCTTGTCTGACTCGGCATATCATGTCGAGCAGGTAACATGTTTCTTCCCCCAACAAGAAAAATAAAAGATCAGTTGGATGTAATGCTATTGGGGAAGACTACCGACGAATCTAGAACATGATAATTTAAGAGCTTCTGCAGATAAATATGAGGACTTCACATGTGTTTGGCAAAGGGCAGGGATCAATCATACTCAAAATTTGAGTTTGAGTCAAGGGGGCTTCGCAGGCAATTCTGTAACTGCAGGAAGCCCAGACCCGACAAGATGATGGCCACGCACGAGACCACTTTATGGCAGTTACAGAGGATGCTTGTCATATAACCTTATTCACTAGTTACTAAGTCAGAGAGCTCCTTTGTCCCCTTTTGAGGTTAGGGTTATACCCGCAACTCCTTGCTCTTACCTTTACTACTTCACAGCTATCGTTCACATATAGTTATCATGATTTCACCTTACTCTACAAATTAACAAATTGGAGAACCATTCTTTCTAATCCTAATTTCTTCTAGAGTATGGTTAGATACATGAACTGCCTTGCTTTCGCACTTGGATGGGGACAAAAGATGTTCCTTCCAAAAGGAACAATTTAAACGCAGCTTCGTTAATTAATGAAGTTATGAACAACTGAGACCTAAGAATACAAAATCAGTAATCAAAAACAATTATCTAGGAAAGCAGGTAATGATGCAAACTGAATAATTTGCTATTCATTATGATTGGATCAAAACTTCGCCAATGAAGATCCAACTTTCTATTCTCTAACAGTATAAGACATAGAGGAAAATTGATTGTCCCCTAAGGAATTAGGCAACATATTCCTTCCTATGCATATTTATTCAAGGACTCCTAAAAGAGATGAAAACATCAGAGTAAAAAGAATCGAAGGAAGAGATTGTCCTAATAAATTCAGAATTTCTCTGAATATAAGGCACATCAAATTGGAAATCCTAACTCAAATATCCATCAAACTCAGGCGTGAAACACAAACTGCAGCCATGGAATTGCGAGAACAAATGTAGAGGCAAACCTAAAGGAAAATAGCGCGAGAAGTGACCTGATTATTTACAATAACGATCCGCTTTCTTTTTGACACGGTCATCGAGAGATTCCTCCACAGACTTCAACTTGGTATTGGAGTTGTTAGGGTCGTAACCGAACTTCTTTGTCTCCACCGGGAAGAGCTCCTCGTACTTCATACGCTTGGCCGCGTCAATAGTATACACTTCTCCGACACCGCCATCTGCACCATCCGCTGACAACAAAATCTCTCCCACGTCCGTGGGGTTCTCGTCGCCTTTACTTTTACCTTTCTTCTTCTTCTTCTTCTTCTTGTCAATAGCCTTACTGCGGGAGGCTAGGACTCCTCCCTTGAAGGTGAGCCTACCTCCTTTCGCCCCTGCAAATGGATCCGACATCGTAGCGCGTCTTCACTGTCCTTTGAAGTCAGTCCCTCGCCTGACAAGATCTTCAAGTCCCTTGATGATCACAGAGGCGGGATGAGATGATCATCATTTGGAGCACTTCCGGTTGCTTGATTCTCGCGGAGACCACGATGGATCTACGATTGGGTATCTTCTCGTTCTGTTCTTCTTGGCCCAATCGGCATAAAAGCCCTAAACCCAAAATCTTCTAGCCCATGTTGCTTTTTGAAATCTAGAAAATGGGGTGGGGGTTAATTTTCCAATTTTAAATATGGGTTAAATTACAATTACGCCCCTACAGTTGATTGAATTTATTTTTAGGATTTTATCAAATTACATGGACTACTTGCATTTAAAATCATATAAACTAAAATTTAACTTTTTCAAAATTACCGGACCAAATTTAAACTCATTCGAGATTAACCAGTGATAATACACTAACTACCATTGTAAAAATTGATAGTTTAAACCCATTCCACACTCATTTTATTTATTTTTTTTTTTTGGAAAGGCTCCCATAAATTTTGTCTTCAGTTCGAGTCATAGTTAGAAAGATTTTGTGGAGAAAGTTCAGCTAGACCTTCTCTACAGTAGACACGTTTTAAAATTGTGAGGTTCACGGTGATACATAATGGACCAAAACGGACAATATATGCTAGCAAACAAACATTGGGTTGTATCTACTAGCAGACAAACATTGGGTTGTGTGCCAACGAGAACGTTGGCCCCCAAGGGAATGGATTGTTTGACGATGGTATGTAACAAGCCAAAGTGGAAATATTTGCTAGTGATGATATGTAACAAGCCAAATGGGACAATATCTGCTAGCAGCGGACTTTGGTTGTTACAAATGATATCATAGTCAAACATCGGGTGGTGTACCAGCGAGGACACTAGGCCCCCATTAGGGAGTGGATTGTCTAACGGTGATATGTAACAGATCAAAGTGGACAATATCTGCTAGCAGCAGCAGACTTTGGTTGTTACAAATGGTATCATAGCAAAACACCGGGCGGTGTGCCAGCTAGGACATTGGGCCCCCATTAGGGAGTGGATTGTCTGACGGTGATATGTAACCGATCAAAGTGGACAATATCTGCTAGTGATGATATGTAACAGACCAAAGTGGACAATATCTGCTAGTAGCAGACTTTGGCTGTTACAAATGGTATTATAGCCAAACACCGGGCGGTGTGTCAGCGAGGATACTGGGCCTCCATTAGGGAGTAGATTGTATGACGGTGATATGTAACAGACCAAAGTGGACAATATCTGCTGCGGTAGACTTTGACTATTACAAATGTTATCATAGCTAAACATCAGGCGGTGTGCCAACAAAGACACTAGCCCCCAGTGGAAGTAGATTGTGAGATCTCACATTGGTTGAAGAGAGAAATGAAACATTTCTTATAAAAGTATGAAAGCCTCTCCCTAACAGACGCATTTTAAAACCGTGAGATTAACGACGATACGTAACGAGCAAAAGTAGACAATATCTAGTAGCAGTGTAAAAGAAGTTTCATATCGTTGGATGCATCCAAGAGACTTTGCGTGCTTCATTTTAATCCTTAATAAAATCAAATTAAAATCCAATGTGTTTTGCATGCACAACCCAATAATTTGAAAGCAATCATTTCAACTTATGCAATTCGATGATCTAGCGAGAATAACATGTCATTCAGAAATCATATGGTCAATATTAACATCATAACATGACATTTATTGTTTAAACATCACATCAAATGATCACGTCAAATATCATACATTATACAATTCATCTTACCTAACATATAGTCTCCAATAATAAATTTACTTACCTCAATTACAGTAAAAATTCATTATAAACTCGATCTAAGCTATCCACTTCTCGATGTAACTTAGGTGTATCTAAACTATCCATAACCATCATGAAATACACATAATTTACCGATTACTCGTAGATTTTATATAAACATGCTTAAAATAATCTTAAATCAAAAGTGACCTAATTTGAGGATAAACTTGCATAAACTGGGTTGAACCAGCCAAAATGGTAAAGAACCGAACGAAAAATAGGCTAAATTGATCGATTAGGGGTCGAACCGGTTAGAACCGAGGCTAAACTGGTCAAAATCAACAAACGTCAATGGGTTGAGCGAGAACCGATTAGGATCATATCGAACCAAACCAAACCAAACCACACGAACTAGATGAACTTGTTGTGCTTCTCCCTCCCTAACAGTCAGCTACGACTAACAGTCAGCTACGACAAACGAGCACGACGGCGCTTTCCCAATAACCGGGCTACCGGCGACCACCTATTCATCAGAAAGGGATGAGAGTGAGATAAAGAGAGACAAAGAGAGAGAGAAAGACACACCCTTCTCCGGTGACTTACCGACGGCGGCGACAGCAAGTGATCCGACGGAACAGGAGGCTCAACACGAGGGAGAGTTGAATGCAAGATTTAGTCTATAGTTTAATATAACATTAACTTTATCGATTATTTAATTTCAAACGTTACTATTAAAATTTAAATGTTTTGAACTAAAATTCTCATAACCCAAAACATATAGTTTCTTCCCTGAGAGCATCGGATTATAGCCATCAGCCGCCTTTTTTCTTACCATGCTTGCTCTGTCTCCCTCTTTGAAACGAAGTTCTGAAGTTCCCATTCCAACAGACAACAAAAAAAACATTCAATTTCTGTCATATATAATCGCCAACAAACGCAAATTCGTTGAAGATCATACCTGCAATCTTGAGGAACACTCCAGGAAGGCCTGGACGAAGCTTTGTGATTAACAAACTTAGACCAATCATTGAGCAAAATCCGGAGATCGTGCACTTTATTGTCGAGCCCAACGCAGCAATTGGCATGAACTGTGCACACTTTGGTGAAGTCGCGCCCCATCTGACAGAACCCGCCGAAGTTCGCGGTGTCCAGGAAGCGTATTTTGAGTCCAATTTCAGGGATTAATGGGCTGTGTTTGATTTTGTTAAGCACGTCTTGATCGTGGCGTCCTGGGAACATGGTTCTGGATTCGTACCAAAATTTGTAGAATCTTATGGTTTTTGTGTTGGATTTGACGTAGACGAAGCCGCCATTTGGTCTGTTGTTTAAATCCTCGGAGCTTCCTTTGAACGTATCGCAAGCGATTTGGAAATCGGCGTCGGGGTGGAAGTGATTGAATGGGTCTTGTAGCCACATGATGTCGGAATCCTGCGCCGACAGAGAAACTAGAACTTCTCATCATTGAATTAGAAACTGCGTTTTGAGGGGAAATTAGAGGAAGCTTACAGTGAAGACGAAGCTGAAACCCATTTCGAGAACAGAGGTGAGGAATTGAATTCTTCGCCACATCATTTTGAGGTAATCGGCGGTCATGAAATAGGCCTCGCCGGAGAAATTGGCTCCTTCGGTGTCCAATTGGTAGCAGTGAGGGTGCGAGGCCACGCAGCGTTGGTACGCTTTTGCGTCCAGACATACTATCACTAAGTGCTTCAATAGCCTCTGTGTTCCGTTTCCGGAGTGGAAGCTTTTGAGGAACAGATCAAGGAGTGAGTCCGGCTCTGCCCATGCCGCATTCAACGTTGTCAAGATTACTGTTTTATCCTCATTTGATGCTTTTGTCAGAGCTTTTTCCTGTGTTTTTTCGTCAATAATCCAAATTGAATAATAATCGTAAAACTTTACATATCTATTAGACATAAGATTTAATTAAAGGTGTTCATAGGACGATCTATCTAATCCAAACTGTAAAAGTTGGATTGAGTTAGACTCTTTCCGTTTCATTTTTAGAAAATCTAAAATTCAATTTGGTCCAAAGGTGGAATCAGCCCAATCAACTTAAAAAATATGATTCACGATCCAACCTAACTCCACTAAAACTATTATGAAAGGGAAAATATTTGGTATATAGACCATATAACTTTGAGTTATTTGAATTTTACGAGAGATGGATTAATATAATTTTTTTAAATAATTAAAAAAATGAACAACTAAACTACGCAAACCTACTCAACTCGAAAATAGATGATTTAGTAGTGAACCCGACTCTGGTCATTTAGGTCACCAACTCAATCAACCCTAAATTTTAGGTTAATTAAAAAAAATTCTCCAATTCAACCGAACCATACACATTCCATTATATATATATATATACACATACGCGCGCGCACACGAACTGAACCATCAATTATTAGCATAGAAATGGGAGGGGGAAATTTTGTTTTTACATGATTACAAAAGAATCACCCACTTTCCTTTGTAAAATCATGTCCCCTTGCCTTTCCCTAACTCCAAAATTAAAAAAATTAAAAAATAAAAAAAAAATAAAAAGTAGAATTGTTCAGATATTTAATAATTTATTACAAATGGAATAATTTTTCAGACCCTTTTTAAAAATTGGAGATCGATCCCCTCAAATTTAAAAGCATTTATCCTGGTATATAACAACTAGAGACTATATTTATTTACCATATTCACACATAATCGTTGTATACACTCTAAAGTACCACCAATCAAATTTTAACACCTAATTAATAAAAATATCTCTTAAACTTTATATTAAAAAATAAATTCACATTTATTATATTTATGTTTAGAAGTGATCGCTTAGCCAATAACGCCCACCACCTAAAAAAAGGAAAACAACAAAGAAAACATGGTAAGGCACGCGCTGGCGGTGGCAGAAGACCAGACGGCTAAAGAGCCTACCGCCAACTTTGCAATAGCAGACGCTCACACACCCACCACCATCGTCCATTATATTCACCAATAATTCAAAAAATTATAACAAAAAGTATATAAAAAATTCACAAAGAAATTCCACCTGTCGCCATCCCATTCGATGATCCTAGGATTCTCAGAATCCCGTTTGGTGAGAATTACCATTATCGGAACGAAAACAGTTCTGTTCCGTTTGATTCACAGATTCCGTTATTTGTAATCCCACCGCCCTAAAATGTAGCGGCCGATTACCAAGAAATATGAATAAAAGAGGGAAAAGTATAGAAACTAACCAGGAGAGGGTTTCTGAGAGAGGAATAGGATCGGAAAGCGCGGTAGGAGTAAGAAACGGGGAGAATGTTGAAAGGCTTAATGGCGGAGTTATATAGAACAACAAGCCCTAATATGACGCCGAAAAACGCGACGGATAGCCTCACCGTCTTCCATCGGACCAACGCCGTATGAGCACCGAACGGAGCCGCCCCGCTAGGTTGCACGTCGCCTGAGGTAGGCTTCATCGGAGGTGGATAAAGAGGAGGAGAAGAAGAAGAGACGCCGGGGAGAGGTGGTGATATTAATGTATAGGAGGAGGAGGGTTTATTTTGCCGGCTGCGCTTCTCTCTATCTCTAATTTCTTTGGTACTCCTTAATTTGTCTCTCTCTTTTTTTTTTTTTCCAATTGATTTTCATTGTATTACTATTTCTGAAGACGACTAGAATTAGAACGGGAATCTTTTTTTTTTTTTTTTCTCCTCTAATGATTTCATTTTTTTTTAATGAAATAATTATCTCGTCACAGTCACATTCATGCACCAATGGGACAATGATGGTAAGATAGTTGTGTTTAACTTAATGAGCAAGTCAATGGTAAGAAACTCAAATTTCATAGACAACATCAGTATACGCTCGAGTCTCAAGTTAGATTTGAGAGAAATGTTTTAGAAAACGTAGAAATGTGTTGAAAACAATTTTAAAAAAAGCTAAAAGCGAGTAGGGAACACGGACTTTGATAATGTATAACTTGGGTAAGAAGAATTAACAACTAATCAAATTTTCTAGAGTACATTTTAGGGTATTTTAGCCTATGACAAGTGTATGGTTTTGGTGACGGAGTCATCACCATTGTATTGACATAACAATAATAGTAAAAGTCTATTTAATAGGAAAGCAAGTAGAAAGGGATTTGAAATGGGACAAGTATAACTAGGACCTTTGTTATGGGACTACAGACCACATGCCTTGAACAAGCATACCTGTAATATTAGAGGTTAGAAAAATATTTTTAATTAATTTAATATTTAAATCCAACGGCGCTTTATTTTCGAGTTGGATTAGGCTATCATGTTGTTTCTCTTTTCTTTAAATTATTTTTAAAATTTTATTTGTTTATAACATACCTTATATTAATAATTAAAATCTTATAAATTTCAAACATCAAATATTTTACGAGTCATGATGATTAATAAAGTTACAAACGTACGTTTATTATAAAATTTATAAATATGGTTGGATCGAGTTCTAATCCTATTTTCAGGATAGTTGGGTAATTCGTCCAAAAGAATTTCAACCCGCCAATGAAATTGTCCAGAAATAAAAAGATTGTGTTAACCGGCAACCGGGTGTTTGCCTATCTGCCGGTTACCCCTGCTCTATTCTAACCCCAGTCCGAACGCTCAACCTCATTCCTTATTATAATTAACCATGATTGGTCAGTTCTTTCACAATTTCCTAGGCGATAATTCTCTCTTTATTTTTATATTAATAATAATAAATGTTATTTTTACTTTTTACTTTTTTTTATTAAAAAAAAACTTTACATCAATAAGTGCATGAAATTTTAATTTAATTTAAATATTAAATATATAATATTTATGTTGCTTTTTTTTCAATTGTTAAAAGGTAAATATTTTTATAATTAATTATTTACATTAAATATGAAGGAAAATATAGAATTTTGAATAGCCAATGAGACAAAGACAAGTGGACAACTTTCCAATAGCAATACTGCAACAAATACGCCATTGACGGTTCAAAGTTACGTGTCCCTTTTTATATAATTGGGAAAATAATTTAATAATAATGGTCAAATTCTATCATTTAACTAATATATATATATACTATATAACATATTTGGTAACATATATATATATATATGTATGTATGTATGTATAATATAATATGTAATTATGCTGACAAAACAAATTACCAAAGATGGCATCAAATTCTTTTTAAAGGATAAAATTTAAAAACCATTCCATAATATTTTCTTGGATTAGTGATGACGTCATAAAATTAATTATTAATTGACTTAAAAAAGAAATAAAAAATAAATAAACAATAAAGGAAAGAATTTATTGATGTGGGTAAATTGGTTACTGAGTGGGGTAAATTTTATTAATGTAGGTTGGCAGCCTCAAGAGGCAGTAATTATCATAATTAATTTACATAAATATAATTGAATAATTCAAAGGCTATAATGGTAAATCAACATAGGCTTGATCTACTCCAGAAATCTTGTTCAGCATAAAGTAAGCTACCAAGAGAGAGCCAGTCAAAAAGCATATTCCTTTTATGGTTTTTGATAGCCCATTGCCGCTCTGGCCCTGCTGCTGCTCCACTGAACTCCCTCCATTCCTGCTGAGTTAAAAAGCACGCTTTTAAGTTCGAATCGAGTCGGATTTGGTTAAATCATACAACTAAGGTTAAAAGATTAGAGGTTTCACACCTCCGTCCCCTATTACGTGGGAGTGGTGTTGAGTTATAAGATTACAACAGGTTATAGTTCATATTGGGTCCGTTTAATTATAGTTCAACTGGTTAAAGCATACGACTAAGGTTTAAAGATTAGAGGTTTCAAACCTCCGTCCCCTGCTATGTATGTGCAGGAGTGTTGAGTTACAAGTTATGCTTCATATTGGGTCCGTCTATGTATAGTTCAACTGGTTAAAACATACGACTAAGGTTAAAAGATTAGAGGTTTCAAACCTCCGTCCCCCTATTATGTATGTGCAGGAATGTTGAGTTATAAGATTACAACAGGTTATGCTTCATATTGGGTCCGTCTAAGTATAGTTCAACTAGTTAAAACATACGACCAAGGTTAAAAGATTAGAGATTTCAAACCTCTGCCCCTGTTGTTGAACTAAAAAAACCAAAACATTCCTATTGTATACGTGCAAGAATGTTGAGTTATAAGATCGCAACAAATTAACCAAAAGCAGATAACTTGCCTTTGTCCCAGCTGAGGCTGAGGAGCAGCCGAACCCCGGAAACGTAGCTCCGATGTCGGCTGCGGCGTCACGGTTGCTGGCAAGGTTTCTTCACTAGGGATTGGAACGTTCTTCACCTGAAACAGGATTCAGAGTGCTTAAAAGAATTGATAAGCTTAATATCATTAGATTCAAGTCTCCAATGCTTACCAATTTTCTAAACAACAGAGAGTAGAACATGTCAATGTATCTCATCTTGGCCTGTTTCTGTTCTTTGTTTAGCTGCCTCCAAAACCCATAAATCGATCCCATATTCAAAGCTTTCCTTGCATATATTTTCCAAGTGTAGCTGAAAAACAATTCTCCGTAAGTGAATATCAAGAACCCATATTATCATAAATGTTCTTTGTGGCTTAACATACCATTCATATATTCTCTGAAGGCCAGCTTCTGATATCATGTTCCAATAGCCAGAATCAGACTTGCACTTCTCAAAGAAATCAACGATCTTTTTGCTCGATTCGTCGCCGTTATTCGGATCGACATGAAAGCCCGAGACCCCGTCGACAATAATCTCAGCCGGGCCTCCTTGATTTGTTGCAAAAGTTGGCAATCCACAGTTCATTGCTTCAATGACTGTTAGGCCAAAAGCTTCATAAAGTGCAGGCTGTACAAAGGCTCCTTTTGTATCAGCAATGCACCGGTATAGCTCACCGTTACGATACCGATCGGTTTGAGCTGATATCCATCTGATTTGCCCCCTGAGTTTATATTTTTCTATCAGGGAATGCATCTTTTTTATCTCTGCAATTTCTTCCCTGTCCTTTGATTTTGATGGATCAAAGAATCCAGCCACAACCACAAGGTTTACTAAACTTCTCAGCTTCCTGTTTTTACCATACCATTCAGTTAATCCAGTAATGTTTTTTACTGTGTCAAGCCTTGCCATTGAGAAGATTATTGGTTTCTCCCTATCTGCAAGGTAACCTCTGTTCCAAAAGTTACCAAGATTAAAAGTTAAAACTGTTCTAAACATTGTCTAATCATGTTCATAGTAAAAGAGATGGATATCAATAGGCATCACTTACATGTGTTCATCATTGTTTTCTCTGCTATAAAGAAGCTCCTCGATTTCGGGATGATAATTTGTCGGTCGTTTAGAAGTCTCGGTGAACGGAAAGTAAACAGATTGATCAGCTCCAGGAGCAGCAATGTTGAATTTGGGGTCAAACACATTGATACCTGAAACTACTCTATAAAGTCCAGGCATTGTAAAGGCCTCATGGCTTTCATATTGTCCTGGCCTAGTTTTGCTGTTGGACACAGACTTGTAGTTAGCTGATAAAAGATGATATCATTCTAGAATGAATATCCAATCCAGTTGAGTTCTAACCTTCCTGAAATTTCTTGATATGTACTTGTTATAATGAAATCAGCTGCATTCATTGAGATTATATCAGCTGTGAACTGACAAGAAAAATGATACTTCGGATCGAGTTCCTTCCATTTAGCGTCCGAATCTTCGTATTTCGTCTTCTCTAAAGCGTGTGCAATGGTTCCCTGTGAGGCCAAAGAAATTCGAGAGTTTATAACGTCTAGAAACAAAAAATGTAGCGGTCTAGGTCCACTGCTAGTAGATATTGTCCTTTTTGGGCTTTCCCTTTCGGACTTCCCCTCAAGGTTTTTAAAATGCATCTGCCAGGGAGAGGTTTCCACACCCTTATAAAGGGTGTTTCGTTCTTCTCCCCAACCGATGTGGGATCTCACAATCCACCCAGGCCTAACGCTAACAGATATTGTCCTCTTTGGGTTTTCCCTTTCAGGCTTCCCCTCAAGTTTTTTAAAACGCGTTTGCTAGTGAGAGGTTTCCACATCCTTATAAAGGGTGTTTCGTTCTCCTCCACAACTGATGTGGGATCTCACAATCCACCCAGGCCCTCCGCTAGCAGATATTGTCTTCTTTGGGCTTTATCTTTCGAGCTTCCTCTCAAGGTTTTGAAAACGCATCTGCTAGGGAGAGGTTTCCACACCCTTATAAAGGGTGTTCCGTTCTCCTCCCCAACCGATGTGGGATCTCACAATCCACCCTCTCTAGGGCCTAGCGTCCTCGCTGGCACTCGTTCCTTTCTCCAATCGAAGTGGGACCCCCACCAAATCCACCCCCTCCGTGGCCCAACGTTCTTGTTGGCACACTGCCTCGTGTCTACCCCCTTCGGGAAACCACCTCCTCGTACACATCGTCCGATGTCTAGTTCTGATACCATTTGTAAAGGCTCAGGCTCACCGCTAGCAGATATTGTCCTCTTTGAACTTTCCCTTTCGAGCTTCCCCCTCAAAGTTTTTAAAACGCGTCTGCTAGGGAGAGATTTCCACACTCTTATAAAGGGTGTTTCGTTCTCCTCCTCAACCGATGTGAGATGTCACAATCCACCCAGGCCCACCACTAGCAAATATTGTCGTCTTTGGACTTTCCCTTTGGTTCCTCTCAAGGTTTTTAAAACGCGTCTGCTAGGGAGAGGTTTCCACACTCTTATAAAAAATGTTTCGTTCTCCTCCCCAACCAATGTGGAATCTCACGAAAAAAAGAAAAAAAAAGAACTAACAGGACAGATTTTCTCAAGCTTTTTGCTCTTTTCTTCCTGACCTGTGTGATTCCAAGTTTCTTAGCCATCAAAGAAGCAACCAAGTTTCCATCAGTGTAGTTTCCAATGATGAGGTCTGGTTTGCAGTTCATAACTTCAAGGATCTTATGAGTAGCATCCTGGAAATCATCCATAGAGAAGTGGGGGATAAGTCAATAGAAAATTAATGAACTTATAAGGCAAAATGAAAGAAAGTTCAAAGTCGAATGCCTTGACGAATCTCTCTAAGTAAGGATAGACGTCGAAACGTGAAATCCATCGACGAAGAACGCCATTCTGTGTGGAGAATGGGACTCTAAGAATGTGAGAATGCTTTGTGTTTTCAATAGACTCGTATTCGACATTGCACGTCGTCCCTCGTGCATCGGGTATCAATCTTGTCACCTAAATGTATCAGTTTTAACACAGATTAAACCATAAGGGACAGGACAATGTTGTGAGCTTATGCCTACAAACAAACAAACAAACATACCACAAGAATCTGAGGCTTAGCTTGCAGGCCTTGCTGCTCAATTCTATGCACCAATTCTTCTTCCAAAGCTCTCACTTGGTCCAAAATGTACACAACCTAAGCATTTTTGTGGCCTACAAACTTGTCAGGAACAGACCATATTGTAATGCTGAAATAAACATATATGATCAAATTCCAACCTGACCACCGGTGTCGGGCAAACCGAGCACGCCCGCCTGGCCGAAGTAACCGTGGGGCGAAAAGATTACAACGTTCAACGTCGTTGGAAGCTTGCTAAACAGGAACTCCACTTTTACTGGATCAGGTGCTTGCAGGACCTCAGAAAGGATTAACATTGTTTCTCTGACACTCTCTGAAGTACTTCCCCATCCTTTCTCAAATCCCCATCCTTGCAGCCTGTGAACATGAACATTAAGGGAAAAGAAACACAAAATCCAATGTTCTTGGAAAAGGAATACAGATTTTTGGTTACTTGTGATTAAATTCTTCATATGGTGTGTCTTTTGGCAGTGAAGATAGATATAGTTGAGCAACAAACAATGCAGATTGAAGCTTGGAAACGCTGCTAAGTTTCTTATTGATCATAAGGCTCTGCAAGATTTAGATTCAAAAATCATAATTTCTTGAATTGGGTTGTCATGGTTTTGGTAAAGATTTGAACTTTTCCTAGAACTGGATGATGTTCATAATTCATACCTCTCCACGATGGTGAAGAGCCTGCAAATAAGCAACAAGTTCCTTAACATTCTGTTTATTCTCACCAAACCTTGAGCTGATGAACTTCGAGATCAAACCGACTCCGTTCCCGATCGACGACTGGAGGCTCAAACGAGGGGCACTGAATTCAGTGGCTCCAAAATCTATCTCTAGAGCATGTTCATCATTAGCCCTGATGATCATAGTTCAAAATTACTACCCATAACCCAATGCAACAGAACTATTTGTAGACTGAGTACTAACCAATTCTCATCAAAGATGGCTTCCTTAAACTTCAAGTACTCTGAAGCAGTAAGGTCTTCTACTCCCAAACTTACAGCATTCACCTTAACAAACTCCCAGAAACCGGGGCTCGGCCTCACGGCTAGAGCGACATTCGGAGGAACAACGGCGGCCTCCTGCATAATACTAGCTATCAACATCAATGCTACTTTGAAGCAGAGAGAGTTTGAATGTTACCTGAGTTTTACTTAGAACATAGCCAAGAGAGCCTTCCAAAACATGGCTCATCTCATGTGTATCTTCAATTGTTAGCTCAATATCCTTCATCAAATCTTGACATTTCATCAACCTCTTCCCATGTTCAACAAACCTATGCAGTTCATATGGATTAAGATAAGATCATATCTAAAAAAGGTTGCAAAAGAGGAAGTGTTTACCTGCCAAAGCATTTCTTCATTGGGTTATGGGATTTTCTCAATGCATCGCTTAGAGTGTCGGAAATTGGTGAATCTAATCTCTTCAGGCTGGCTGTTGCAAACGCCATTTGTTCCAATAATTTGGGAATGAACTGATAATTGCGCTGTTTCTGCCTGCCTTGTGATTTGTTTGGGGTATATATAGATAGATAGATAGATATATATGTATAAAGAGCTGAAATAGAATGAAGAGAGGAACATTTGTGATGTCTGAATGATTGAAAGCAAGAAAGGAATTGAAAATGTGGGAAGTTATTTAAGAAGAGGAGGAAAAGAACTTAAACAAACATTCATTTAGTTTCATTGTGTTTTTTTGTTAAAATTGGTGGGTTTTATTATTCTTTTCTTCTTTCACTTCCATAATTACACCAACATAAGAATCTTAAGATACTATACAAATTTTAGGCTTTTGGAATCAACAAATATTTAGAAGCCGAGAATGAAAACAAATTTTAGAGTTAATATCCATTTTTTTTATATTTAAAAATGTTCCTAT